GTGGCCTGGGGGAGACCTCCCTCCCAGCATCCCGGTCGGGTACGGGGTTAGCCCCCGCGCGGGGGTAAAAGTGGGAATGTAAATCCCTGGGAGGGGATTTGGGTGCTTTGATAGAGGTTTTTGCTCAGGGCAAAGTCCTCCGAGTGTCACTGCGGAGCTGGGATGGGGCGTTCAAGCATGGGATAGGATGGGAGAGGGTGGGGTGGGGTGGGATGTGATGAGATGGAGGTGGAGGTGGAGGTGGGGATGGGGATGGGCATGGAGATGGGCATGGAGGTGGAGCAGGATGGATGGGGATGGGCATGGGACAGGAAAGGAAGGGATGGGACAGGATAGGGATGGTGTGGGAGGGAATGGGGATGGGAATAGGAAAGCGACAGGATGCGATGGGACAGAATGGATGGGAATTGCAATGGGATGGGATGCCATGGCATGGGGATGGGATAGAATGGGATGGGATGGGACAGGATAGGATGAGACAGGGTAGGGACAGGATGAGAGGGGATAGGGGTGGGATTGGGATGACGATAGTCATGAGGATAGAATGGGATGAGAAGAAAATGGGATGGGATGGGATGGGATGGGATGGGATGGGATGGGATGCAGACCAGGCTGGCCAAGCCCGTGGGTCCGGGCGGTGTGCTACCTCGCAGGTGGCCTACGACACGGGCGACTACTACCACTCCATCGCATGGCTGGAGGAGGCCGTTGGCCTCTTCCGCCTCTCCTACGGCAGCTGGAACCCTGAGGACCGGAGCAGCCTGGAGGATGCTCTGGACCATCTCGCCTTCTCCTACTTCATGGTATGGCCCCAAGTCCCATCCCCATCACCCCACTGCCCGGTGGAGCCGAGCCGTGGGCACAGGGATGCTCATGGGCTCTCTGCTCCCTCCATCCAGGCTGGAAACATCTCCCACGCCTTGAGCCTCTCCAGGGAGTTTCTCCACTATGGTATGTGGGGCGACCTCGGATGCGGCAGGAGGTGGGGAAAGGTTTTGGGGTGTCCCCATCACCTCTGCATGGCACCATCCTCCTTCACCCCATTTCTTGCCCCCCCATGGGGTATTCTCCAGGGACCGATGCTGGGGAAAGGGAGGTGATGGGGACACAGAGTTTCGGGTGACATCACCTCTCCGGCAGACCCCAGCAACCGAAGAGTGGCAAGGAACGTGGCCAAGTACGAGAAGCTGCTGGAGACGGGGTCGACGGCAAGCGCCGGAACCCTGCGGCGCCCCAAGCGACGCCTACGAGGAGCTGTGCCAGCGCCCAGTGGGGCAGGTGGGGCTGGCAGGGGGTTGCCACAGCCCCCCACCCCACCGCTGTCCCCCTTCTCACACCCTCCCTGGTCCCCTTTCTCCCCAGGTGGCCCCGGAGCAGCTCCCGCACCTCAGCTGCTCCTATGAGACCAACGGCAGCCCCTACCTCCTGCTCCAGCCTGCCAAGAAGGAGACGGTCCGGATCCGGCCCTACGTGGCTTTGTACCACGATTTCATCAGTGATGCCGAGGCTGAGACCATCAAGGGGCTGGCGGGACCCTGGGTGAGTTGTCCCTGTCCCCAGGGATGTCCCTCTCCTGGAGGAAGATGCCCCAGGAGCTGGTGGTCCAGGGTGAACCACCTTGAGCATGCAGATAGGAGGGATTTTAAGCCAGGGCTTAGCCAAAGCCTTCTGCAGCGAGACCTTGGAGGGGAGGAGCCCAGCTCCATCTGAGCCCCCCAGAACGTTTTGGGGAGAAACCAGGTCCATGCATGCACCTAAACCCTTCCCCAGCCAGGCTTGACTTGGGGACACCCAGCTGCGTTGGATCCAACTGCTGTCACTGCTTCCATCACCCCGGTGGGACACTTTGGGGGTGGGGTTGTTCGGCAACCAGCTGGTATAAACACCCCAATTTGGACCCCAACTGGAGCCCCTGCTTGGTGTGGGGGTCCCCATCTGCAGCAACATCCCCCCCCACCTCTGTCCTGCAGCTGCAGAGGTCCGTGGTCGCCTCTGGGGAGAAGCAGCAGAAAGCCGAGTACCGGATAAGCAAGAGGTAGAAGCCACCCCATCCCTTGTCCTCTGGCCAGCGGGACCACCACGGCCCTGTTGCCACCACCAAGGTGGTGGTGAAGCCATGCTGGGCAGGCCTGGGTCCTCCACACCCATCAGTGCCAGGAGGGTTAAGCCCAGCCATGTGTGAATTTGGGGGGCTGAAGGTGGGGTGCTCCCACAGCGCCTGGCTGAAGGACACTGCCGACCCGGTGGTGCGGGCGTTGGAGCAGCGCATCGCTGCTGTCACTGGCCTGGACCTGCGGCCACCCTACGCTGAGTACCTGCAGGTGGTCAACTATGGGTTGGGAGGCCACTACGAGCCACACTTCGACCACGCCACGGTGAGGGAGCTGCTTGGGTGGTCCATGGGGTGATGCCCAGGGTGGTTCCTGTGGTGCTCTTGGGATGGTCCTTGGGGTGATCCTGGGAGGGCTCCTGGGGTGGTCTCTCAGATGGTCACCAGGGTGGTCCCTGGGGTGGTCTCTGGGCTGGTCCCTCAGCTGTTCCTGGAGGTGGACCCTGGGGTAGTCCCTGGGATGGTTGCCTGGGGGGAGGTCCCTGGGGGTGACCCCATGGTGATCCCTGGGATGGTGCCCAAGATGTTCCTGGGAAGGGAGGGAGGAAAGAGGGAAGGAAAGGGGAAGGGAGAGGGAGAGACTTCCCTGGGGGCAGCTCAGAGCCACCGGCTCTGTTAGGGCATGAGGTGCCTCCAGGCCGAGCCGTGTCAGTGTGGGACTAACTATCCCCACCTCCTCGCTCCTGGGGCAGTCGAGGAAGAGCCCCCTTTACAGAATGAAGTCAGGCAACAGGATCGCCACGGTCATGATCTACGTGAGTCCTCCCTCATTTCCAGGCCAAGAGAGAGTGCAACTTGCATGGTCATCAGTGGGGTTCAGAGTGAACGGGGTTGGAGATGGGCAAGGGCAGCCCTAAATCAGACTGTGGTGGAGTGTTAAAAGACAGCGAGTGCAGAGCTTGCGCCATGCTGTAGCGAGGGAAGTGCTCTGGGGGACCAAGGGAGGTTCCGTGCCTCAGTTTCCCTGTGCAAAGCAGACGTATCGCAGGGGAAGGGGGTGGAAGGGCCATGGCTCATATTTTCCTCCTTTCCCAGTTGAGCGCAGTGGAGGCCGGCGGCTCCACCGCCTTCATCTATGCCAACTTCAGCGTGCCCGTGGTTAAGGTGAGGGGGACCTGCACAAGCCCCCCGGGAGCGGGGAAGGGGAAACGCAGCTCTCGCGTGTCTCGTCTCTCGCAGGGAGTTGTGGCTGAGCCTGTCCTGATGCCAAACCCCTGCCCTGGGGCTCCTGGCTCCCTTTGAGGGGAGCCAAACCCCAATCTCGCAGCTCCCTGCTCTGTTTTGGGGTGACAGACCCTAATCCTGGGGCTCCCATCTCTGTTTTGGGATGCTAAAATCCAATCTCGGGGCTCCCAGTTCTATTTTGGGGGTCCAAACCCAAGCCATGGGGCTCCTGGCTCCTTTTGAGGTGTGCCAAACCCCGATCCCACAGCTCCCAGCTCTGTTTTGGGGTGCCAAACACCAACTCTAGGGTTTCCAGCTCTATTTTGGGGTGACAAAGCCCAATTCTGGGGCTCCTGGCTCTGTTTTAGGGGTGCCAAACCCCTCTCTGCCCCACAGAACGCAGCTCTCTTCTGGTGGAACCTGCGGAGGAACGGGGATGGTGACGGGGACACCCTGCATGCCGGCTGCCCCGTCCTGGCTGGGGACAAGTGGGGTGAGAGATGGTGTCCGGTGTCACCCTGGGGTGACACGGGGTTGGAGGGGCAGCTCTGCTGGCAGGAGGGGCTGGGAACCCAGAAATACCCGGTAATGGGGAAAAACATGTCACCGATATACCGGAGCGGGGTCGGAGAGGGGTACACGGGGATGGAGGCAGACGGGGGGTCCTTGTCCCTTCCAGTGGCAAATAAGTGGATCCACGAGCATGGGCAGGAGTTTCGGCGGCCGTGCAGCACCCACCCACGAGACTGAGCTGTTGTGGGCTCAAGGACGTGGCACCCATGGGTGGCAAAGCCATCCCAGGACAGCGTGTCTCCAAGGCTGCCAGCAAAGAGGAGGGAGGGAAGGGGGTGGCAGCGGTCCGGGGTGCTACTGGGGGCGGTGGCACTTGCTCAGCCACGGCTGAATACTGTGAAAATAAAGTCAAAAGACACTAAACCGGAGTCTGGGGAAAATATCTCAGTGTGGTGCCTGGTGGGATGATGGAGGGTGGGGTTATGTGTCTGTGTCCCCCCCAGCCCTGATTCCAGCCTGGACCCTAAACGTACCCTCAAGCCTCCTCCTTCAGCCCTAGATGAAAAAGTCTCTCTGCTAAAAGGACTGTTAGTGACATGGCATTTCTATGGTAATCAGTAGGCTTCAGAGTGAACAGAATGGCCATAGAGGACCAGAGCAAAGACAGTAATACTATCCTCACTCAAATAAACCTGCTGTAGCGCCTGGCTGCATCTTGGGCCTGATTGTGCAGCCCCACACTCTGCTCTCGCCCCGACAACAGCACGGGCCCCCCTCCTCGGCCCCCCAGAAGGTTCTGGGGTTTTTTTGCAGGGCAATCGCTTTAAGAGGGACCTTGGGGAGGGAGAAGGCAGCTGCTGCCCACGCTCGGACCACGCTTGCGCGAACGCCGCTCCCCCG